CATCTCATCATCTCATGATACATCTCGTCAACTCATGATACATCTCATCAACTCATCTTCTTGATCAACTCAACGGCCCCGCCCCCAAGATTTCTTCCAGGTCTTCCGCTTGGTGCACTGGTCCCTTCGGCTCTTGGGGCTCTCGCAGCCCTGGCCCTTGCGCAGGCGCGGAAGCGACGTACTGACCTGACTGACCCGGACAGACAAAGCTGCACTGACCCGGATGGATAGATGGACCAAGCTACACGGAAGGACGGATGGACGGATGGACGGATATGAATTTGTTTGGGTAAATTGATTTGACCCTACTGGGATGGAGCGACAGATCTGTTTTGTGTATTTTGACCGAAAGACTGGGATGGACCGAAAGACCGCTGTTCTTTTTTGGGACCCGAGTGACCGACCCTACTGATTTGACGATGTTTGGGTGTTTGATCAAGCTTGGGGATGAGGATACCAAATCTGTTGCGAACAGCATGTGAGGGCTGGTGGAAGAGTGAAGTTACAGTTACCATCAAGTTTTCTTTTAACACGAATTTCCTGAAACCAACTGAGAGTTTACTGGTATCACGTTTTGGTGGACCTTTTGCTTCACTCATAGGATGGTTCCGTTTGCTGGTCCATCACCACTCACTTCAGCCATCCCATTCTCGTGCTCGTCGCGTCGTGTTGTTACTCTCCCTGGAAGCGGAACCCCCCCCGCTGTTCGTAGAGGAATAGGGTGATCTAATCCAAGGGGCCATGTTCATGCATGTTCCACTTCCAAGATCCAAAAGTACTGAGTTGGTCTTCGGAATATGGTTGAAAGTCCGATTCTCGTCGTCTCGTCCTGCCATGAGGCTCCACGACTTCACGCTGAGCACCTTGGAACTCTTCTTGGAGCAGGCGGAGGACGTCGAGGAGAGCAGTCGTTCACCTTTTTTTTTCCGTGCAAACATGGTACCAAAAGAGGGATGGCTTAATTAGTGGCTGGCCGCCCATGGAAACAGAAAGAACCATGGTATTACTCAGGGTATTATAGCACGGTAAACTAATACCCCTTGTTATGGTTAATACGCTTACCCCTCTGTTTCCAAGGGTTATTTACTATGGTATTACTAGAACCAAGGGGTATTTTAGCACGGTCACGCAGTCTCCTCTCCTGGACGGACCTGGCCCCTCGTCCGACGTTTGCCGGCTGGGTCCACGCACCGAGCCAAACACGCGCGTGCCAAGCAGCTGTTTTTTGGGTATAGACCATGTGATGTTGGCAGGGGATTCTTTTTGGTTGCAGCTGCTTTGCTACGTAGTAAGTGTTTGCCAAGTGGTTGCTTTGTTGGTGATCATGCCCTATCGCATCGTGAAACTATAGCATCAACATCAAAGTATTAAACCCATCCCATCGTCATTGACCATCACGTCATATTTCCGTGCTCGCGCTGCCAGGAGGAGAAGAGGTCGGAGTCCCAAACCTTGCTTGCTGATGTAGGCGCGGCCTTTTGCGGCGCCCACCGGGCCAACCGGTAGATGTCGGTCTGCAACCGAACTCATCATGCACCAGGGCCCTATAGATGGGATACAGGCGTGACCAAATTTTGCCCGGTCTTCGTCCAAAAGAATATCCCTATATAGTCCCTCTCCCATAGGCTCCAGGCTCCAGGATGTCTCCGTACTTCGGATGGTCGAAAGGAGTGAAAGTACGTACTTCCAGAGAATGGTTTCTGGTGCCAAAGAACCTCATCAGAATGGTCCTGGACCCTCACTATAGGGTATATCATCTCACAATACAGAATACATCAGGATCTCATTACTGCAGCTGTTTTCCCTGTTATACATAATAGATTATGATAGCATACTTCAGTGATTCAGGATGTCATAATACCTTGTTGTTCTCCTTGTTCCATCACCAAACGCAATTTGAACTTTGTGCGCTCGGAGTCACGCGACCTCGTCGCGTCGGTGGTCACGCAGCGTGACAGGCGCGTTCTATCTCGGGGTGCCCGTCATCCCGCGCATGCAAGCGAGGCCGCTCCAAGCCGAAGAGTGGACGTAGTGGTGGGGT